GCTAATAATTTGCTTTTCTTAAAGTGAATGCCTAATAAATCTCACGAGCCACTTAATTATTAGCACAAAGCATTTACCTCAATCCAATATTACAATGTATTGATGACATGAACTATATCTGATGTTAATGATAATGATGTTACAGACTGTGTTTTCCTGTCTCTTCTGTGATTTCCACACTGATTTTCTATGTAATATTCTTGTAGCTTTTTAAAGGAGCAGAAATTTGAAAGTGTGAAGTTAGTTCATCCAAAGTTTAGAATAAGCAGAAAGAATATTACTACAAAAGCTGGAATGATTAATAGTCGAGACAATACTAGTCTAATGAGCAACGTTTGTTCCGGTACACCACCGAAACTGATCAACGTGGAAATATGATGAAGGTGGCATTAAGCCACTATTAGAAAGAAAGGATGTTCTGAATCTAATATATAATTGTCTACTTTTAGCTTGTGGAATCAAGTGCCACAAGTACTGAGCCCACATGATGCAACGTGCTGAAACCAATCAGGAATAAAAACTTTAGTACTCTGCTCTGGAGTTTGAGTTTCCCTCTTTTTTTATAATTGATTACAGATGTTACAGTTTATGAGGCAATTGCATTTACTTTACTTTAGCATAAACAACAACAGCTGGATGATCAGCTGCTGAATCCAGATGTATGAGAAGTTGAAAACAGACACATCAAACTTTGTCTCAATGAAGTATTCTAAAAGAACAAGACATCTTGATTTAGATGCAAAACACAGTCCCATGCATGGCTGGCTCCTCCCATGAGGGGCCAGAAAATTAAGATTTAATGGTGATACTGAGGGAATGACACTATCTGTCTGCATACTCCCATCTCTTCACACAACATCACGTCTGCTGCCTTTCTACCTCATTCTCTCATCAAACAAAATTGCAGATGCATTTTCCTACAAAGCCATGCCTAAATTCAAATTTGGGCATGCAAACATATTCACACACACACACACACACACACAAGTATGTGTGCATGCCATAAATTACTGTATGCACATGCAAATTTACATACTCTTATAAAAACTCTGTGTTAGAGTTTGTATTGTTGATTGTCATTTATGCTTAGAAATATTTCCTTATATATGCTTAGAGTTTTGTAATTAGTTGTAGATTGGTAGAGGTTTTGATCCTTGATAGTCTGCAAACTTTGTGTGTATTAGACAGCACTTTGGGAGCATGAGAGGTCATACCGTGTCTTATTGTTTTATGGTAGGATTAACGTAGTTGCGTCTGTTCTAGTCTAAGTGCTCTTTGTTTAGATGAACTGCAGGACTTCCTCACCGTGTTATCTAGGATGAACCATCTAGGGTGAGGGGGAGGCTACCCTCTTCCTGACCAAGGATGTTTGACCCTTTGATCAGAACAACACCACACACACACACACACACACACACACACACACACACACACACACACACACACACACACACACAGTATTCTTTGTTCACATGTATACCTATGTAAGACGTCATATGTTAATGAACCTATGCATATTCATGTAACCTCAATAAAAGGACAGTGTACGGGAGGACGGACGAGAGCAACTGGGGTCAAGCGAAGGAACGGCGATTGTCCGGTTCTCTCCCGTGCACGAGTAACATGAAGCTTGCCTACTTCGTGTCTTGCTTTGCAGTGTAATTATATTGCCTTCAACGTTCCAGCGGATGGGTTCAAGCTACAAACCTATCACTCTGACAAAAGCTCTGTTACAGGCAGGGGGAGTCAGCTGTAAATTAAAACTCTTGTCAAGATTATCTTTTTGTAGCATGAAACGTGGAATTGGTTTAAAAAGTGTTGGATCGGCACTCAACATGTCTGGCAAAGCAAACGTGACTGAAGGGAATGCACTGATTTAAACATACATAAAAAAAATAGCCATTATTGCCCCTTTTGCATTGATATTATCAGTATAGACTGTCAAACTCAACTAATGCATTACACACAAGGACTATTGCTGTCTTGATCATCTTTATTGTCTGGTGACTTAAAAAGGGCAACATTGTTCTCTAGGTCTACAAGAGAAAGAAAAAGAGAAATCAATAATGTTTCAGTTTACAGCTAATAAAAGTCAATATTGCATCCACACAAAGGAACTGCATGCCTCAATTGCAAGGGCCACATTTGAGAAATTCAGATGCAACCAACTAGTTAATAATAGAAGGGTGAAAATCTAAGTGTAATGACTTCCTTTCTTAAACCAATATTCTTTATAATATATGAAGTAGTGAGAAGTAAAACTGACAGATCAGTTTTCAGTTGAATTTAAGGGGTCAAGCCTAATGACAATGGATCTCATGTTTTGCACATCTGTAACAACCTTATAAACTAAATTGGATCGACACAAAGAACATTTGCCTATATAGCCATATTTCTCATATGTCTAACTGCAGCATGTTATCTTACAATGATTCAGTATAGTAAATATAGTCTATAGTAATAGCTATCGTGCACGCATGACTAAACAACTGCTTAACTTACAGACCATTTAGCATTCTTGTGACACATGGAAATAAGAACACAAGCCAAGGGATAACCTTTGAATGACTTTTCCTACACTACCCGCAAAAAAATAAAAATAAATAAATACACAGTACCAGAAATCCATGACTGTAAATTATTTATGATTCATAGGTGCTGTCTCAGAAGCTGTGAAGAATTCACAGACTCATTGTAAATTTAAAGGATGCTCTCAGCGTGAGCAAAAGCCCAGGTTGACAGTGAAAAACCTTTTTCTCAGATGGGACATATCCTGCTGCTTTGACCTGTTTGTCCTGGCAGCATTGATGGGGAATTGAGCCATTATTCACCATTAATTTGTGGTTCAATGGTCAGAGAGGCTGTAGCAGGGGACACTGACTCAACATTGCCATGGTGACATGGAGTACAGAAAGGAAATTAAACTGTAGGACACAAAGTGTCACAAAGCTAAAAGTGCCTATATAGAGTCCAACAAAGCTCTTTAGGGTAAATACCATTAAATAGGACAATGGCATACTTTTTTACTCAAAGCACAAGCATATCGATTTGAAGACTCAGTAGAGTCGCATTTAAAATTGGGCTCTATGCAGTGATGACTAATGAACAACAAGAGGTTTGTGGGAATGACAAAGAGCTGAAATGACTGGGTGAAAATCATCTGCGGAGGTTCAAAATGTTAGCAGGTAGACAGTAACACCTCATGTCACCTCGACCTTGCAAAGACCACTTACAAGTTTTTTTTTTCATGGTTGGCCAATTCTCCTTCAAAATGAAATAAAATAATCTAAAACTAAAATTTGATTTCCTGAAGTAAAGCTCCTGTTGACACAAGCTGTTATGGCCAGATATCAAATTGGACAGAGCACATGGAAGCCAGGTCAGTTAAAGGTTTAGCTAGACCTTGATGCAAACAATACTGTGCAGTGTCACTGAGACAAATGACAGAAACATGGGCAAATGCAACTGAATAAACTGTTTTATTCAGTTAGTGATCTTACCAAAACTATAATGTCACTACTATAATACATTGCTTATGTGAATTTAACCCTTTAAGACCTATCATAGAACCAAGTCCACCAGGGCTTATATTATATTTTTACATGTTGTAGAGCCATTTCTGGGAGCATTTCAAGTTGATATACATCAATACAACAATTATAGCCCAAATTTTAATAATATGTATGCATTAAGTGCATAGTAATTACATAAATTGCAAAAAAGTGCAATAAACTACAAAAAATTTGAAAATCGTTGTTGTTTTTTTAAAATATATATTTCTAGTTAGAGAAATTTAAGAGGCTTATCCCTCAAAACTGTAAATACAAAAAAGTTGCACAAAATAGTTTCCCACCACAGGAAATTTATTTTAAGTGTCTTCATAGTTTTATTTTTGAAATACACCAATTTTTATATACTGCAAGAAAAACTAAAATAAACACTATAATGCAAATTTGCGAAAAACCAGCATATGCATCAAAATAAACTATTTCCAGCAGTGCAATATGAGTCCTAAGCATCCCAGAAATGACACAGAAAGTCATAAAGTCAAACACAAGTGTAGGCTCATAAGGCCCTAATGGTAAAAAACTACATTTCCGCAAAATGACGTGACTTCCGGTTTCGGGCAGGTCATGGCGGACATGCGATAGTTCGTGCTGATGAATGTAGGAAGTGTTACAAACAGCTGATCGGATTGGCAAAGTGTGTTTCTGGAATATTATGTTTTTATTGCTGCAAGTGCTTTTTATGCAGTTTTTGCAAAGCTATATGTGGAAGGAAACTGTGACTTAGGACAAGCTGATGGCATAAGATACAACAGCTCTGGTTTCAAATGCAAAACAAATTATTGCGCTAGCTTACGTGGTTGCAGTGCTACCGGGATTTTAAAAAAGTTATGCAAAATGGAGCGTGCCCGCTCCGACCAGCTTTAAAGGGTTAACTTAAACTAAATATGATATCGAAAGTATGGCAAAACCATATATGATATGAACAGTGTGCATAAAATTACTAATTAATAATAACTTGATATGGTACAACTTGTAAACAAAGCATATTAGTAAAATCTGCTGACCAATACAATTAATTAGCTTAACAACATGCTGGCTATCAAATAACAATGAAACCATCACACTTATGTAAGGCAGATAATCTTGTAGAACCTGAAAACTGAAACTGTTGTTATTGTTGTTGTTGTTGTTGTTGTTGTTGTTTTTTACCAGTCGAACAACTTTAATTCACAGACCGCACCACCAAATTCTTCAAATATCCCATTCAAAAGATGCACAAGTTCACATTTTTAGTGAAGAAATTAATCAAAAATGAGTTCTGAGGTGAAAAGTTTACACCAAAAATTGTTGGCTGTAGCCAGAAAAGTTGAACACACTCTTGCATATTTACATATTTTATTAACTGTGGAAAATCAAGATAGAATCGCTATGAAAGAGAAAGGTATGTTGCAGTGAAAAGTATGCAGAGCCTATTTGAGGCTAGCTGCTTACCACTTTGAGAAGCAATCATCCCCGCAGCCATGGCCTGTTCTTTTCTCTCTTCTTTTGGTGTGGTCGTCCCTTTTTTTCTTGTTTTATCTAGAAAAAAATAACAAAATATAACCATGAATCATGGCTAAGTTTATGACCACAGTGACAATCAGCAACTAGAATGTCAACATTTCCAAAGTAAAATCCCTAAACAAACCAACAAACGTCAAATTAGATGGTGGATACATCATGCCTTGGACTTTGTTATTAAACTGTCACATAATGCAGCATGTTTCAATGAGTGGTGAAAAAAATAAAGCACAAACCGAAAGTAAGGGTTAAAAACAACAACAATCATTTAACCAGTAGTGAGAAAACTAAATATAACAACATATAAAGAACTGAATCTACATTCATTTTCAGTTTCAAGCTTTGTATCTCCTAGGAACAGCATTGCTTTCACAGTTTTTCCTAAAATTGTCTTTGCCTGTCTGTGGCATATTTATGTGATCGGTACTTCATGTACTTGGAGAGAACAGGTTGGAGATTCATCCAAATGAGGTTGTGCACATACAATTCTTGGATTTGTAACAAAAAATGTTAAAGATTTAATACTTTTGAGCCAAGACAGGGTATTTTTAAACTGATATTAAAAAAAAAATTGTGTTGTTTTAACATGTTGAAAAATGTGAAGCCTTGATTTACTGAGTCAGACCCTGAGTCATTTCACACAGCATCCATTGTGTTTACATTCTCTAACTAGATGCAAAATAACACATAAATCAGATGTTTGATAAAAGCTGGTAACCTGCTACATGTCAGAGACATGAGATTATCTGGGATTACTGTGAGTCATCACCTACTTTCCATTTTTTTAAATTGCGTTTATACCAATGATGTGTGTGTGTGTATATATATATATATATATATGTGTATATATATATATATATATATATAACTATGTGTGTATATTTATATATATATACACACACACACACACACACACACACACACACACACACACACACACACACATATATATACATATAGTTCTTAAAGTGCATTTGGTTATGATGTTCAGTTTGATATGGAGTACATAAATTGGAAGTTGGGATTTGTGTCGTGCATGTGGGTACATGGATTGCTGTTCAAGTATCTGTTTCAGAATCTTTCGAATTTCCAAGTTCCTAATAAACGGCATGTGGTGCAAAATGAACACTGGCCGCTTCTCACTACTTTCCTTCTATAATGAGACCCCTTATCCAAACTACAGAAGGAAACACAAAGGATAGTGATTATGCAATAGGCGTGTCTGAGTTGTTAATGTGGTGGTGATGAGAGAGGGAGAGAGAGAGGAGGGAGCTATCTACTCCAAGTCCAAAGGCAGTGAGATTAAATAAAAGTTTTACTCAGGACACTCTTGTTAAAATCACTCTTGACACCCTGCACTATTAGTACGCCATTAAGAGTTCAAGGACAATAGCTGTCCTGTTTTTTGATCATTTATCCCTTGGATCCCCTCGTTAAGCCTGAACCCAGTTCCTCACAATGGCCACAGAATATTGATGGGTTTTGAAAGGATGATTTTGCTGAATTCATAATAATCCTCTTCTTGTCTGTTCTTGATAATACAGATGAGCTAGTCTTTGACATTCCAGAGTGAAAGGTTAATTGCCTGATGCTGATCTAAATCTCTCAATAAACTTAATATTTTATAGTGGGGCGATCGTGACTCAAGAGTTGGGAGTTCGCCTTGTAATTGGAAGGTTGCCGGTTCGAGCCCCGGCTTGGACAGTCTCGGTTGTTGTGTCCTTGGGCAAGACACTTCACCTGTTGCCTACTGGTGGTGGTCAGAGGGCCCGGTGGCGCCAGTGTTCGGCAGCCTCGCCTCTGTCAGTGCGCCCCAGGGTGGCTGTGGCTACAATTTAGCTGCCATCACCAGTGTGTGAATGTGTGTGTGAATGGGTGGATGACTGGATATGTAAAGCGCTTTGGGGTCCTTAGGGACTAGTAAAGCGCTATATAAATACAGGCAATTTACCATTCAAACAATACTAAAGGCTCCTCTTTTTCATTGCATCCAGAAGGCATCCTGTTCAGATACTCAAACCACCTCAGCTATCTCATGGTGACATGGCAGAACCCAGGTAGTGACCTGAGCACATCGGAGCAGTATACATCACGTGATAGAGCGGCTGTTGTGTGCTAGACCTGTCGGCAGTCTGGAGTTCACACTGAAAGCATGTGGAGCCACACTACACGCTGCCAAACCAGGTGTTATGCAAAGGTAGGTATCCCGACAAAATTTGTTCCCCCTGCGTCGCGAGCATTCGCTGGGCCCGGAGTGCAGATCAAATCAAGTGCTTTGCACTGACGCTCAGCTTTCTCTTCACCACAACCGACCAGCACACCGTCCACATCACTACAGATGCTGCACAAATCCACAATTCAATCTATTCTTGTTGATTGACAAATTTTAAGATCTTCCACCTGGGGCAGCTACTTGTCCTTAATCCAGAGTGCACACACCATTCTTTTTTTTGGGTGAGAACCATGGCCTCAGATTTGGTAGGGCTAATTCTCATCCAACCCACTTCATATTCAGCTGCAAACGGCCTCAGTGCAAGTCACTGCCTGATGAAACAAGGAGAACTACATCATCTGCGAAAGATCCTGAGTCCACCACACCTGACATGCTCCACCTTCCACCTCATGACTGAGCCTGGAAATTCTGTCTTTAAGTATTGTGATTAAAATTGTTAAGACGCATGACAGAGACCAACACCCACCAGGAATGACAGCAATGGAGCTTTTCTTCTTTACAATGACTGGCAGAGGTACCCTAACTACCTCAGCACTGTGTGATAGGGCCAACGGGAAACATTAACTGAATAAATAGTTTACTATTAAAACTATACAGGTGGAATTGGGTGCGTTTTACTGGAGCCCCTGGGGACCCCATGACATTTGCATTATTAAAAACCACTAATCAAAGCAGAAATCTAACATAATGATGTCATATCATTAAGAACACATTGACAGTAATTAAAATAAATAAAGGGGAAAAATGATTTATATATTTAAAAAAACACACACAAAACAACTAACAAACATTGTAAGCTGTGGCTTGGGTCTACACATACCCTAGTCATTAGGATGAGGGTTAAATACCCTTCGACACTAGCTTCAGAGAAAAAAAAACTTTTTTATACACAGTTCTGTTTTGCTCTTTTGCTCTGAACGTAATATCCTTAAAGATACTTGAGGAACAGGTACAGACAGAACTCTGAAAATTACTTTATATTCATCAAGTCAAGATTTGAATTACTTAAATAATGATATTTATCTTTTTGGACTCAATAGCCTTTTCAACACACACACACATACCTATGTGTGTGTGTCAATATGGACGAGGCTGTGTACAGGTCAAATGCCGATTGGTTGAATAGTGGGTTGGGAAAGGAAAGGGAATGAAATTAAGCTACTACTACTAGAAGGAAACATGCAAAAAAAAATCAAAGATAAATCAGGAAAAGCACACGCTGTGGCTGCAGCAGAGACTTTTCATGATTATTAATACCCGGTTTCACTCTAGCTTTATGTCATAAGTTGTCTGTGTAGGCTCTCAGTCATCCAGGTCATAGCAGTCTTATCATGGTGGAGAGTCCCAGGTATTGAAACCCTAATGGTGGTTGTCCCAAGACAGCCGTTGATCCATTATTACTTGTGCCTTATGACATGGGCCAAGGTGAAACAAGGTGCGAGTGGTTTCAGGTAAAACCATTGTGAGACTTTGACTCACCCTATCATGTGACCTATTGAGGTCACCTGAAGTAAGATGCGAGTGGATGTTGAGGCACCAGGAAAGGGATCTCAAGATTGTCATAAGTTTGGTCTTCTCCATGAATCTCCAAAGGACCAAAAACAACACAAGCCCTCGTCTGTGACAGTGCCTCTTCATGAGAGTACAGAGAAACAACATGGAGGCAATTGCCTGCAAAACTGTGTGTAGGCTCTGCATAGGGCCAGTGCACAACTACGCAGGCCCATTATCCATTCTATTGTGTTATTTTTCCTATAGGCCAGTATATTCATTTTGCCTATAACAAACAAAATCATTTAAATTCAGAATCACACTTTGAGTATATCATTGTACATTAGTGGATTTAATAACTTTCCATTGACAATGTGTCATCCGCAGACCCTGTGACAGTTGTCAGCAATTCCCTTGAAACAAACTTGGCTTTGATTCACAAGGATGCATTAACACGCCATTTGCCACCTGGAATCAAGATGCACACTGATCATGCCATTAGCTTCTCTCTTTAATTATGAGACCATAAAATGTCTTAATATGCAAGAGCACCTGGATGCTGCTATAGACATCAGAACTTCATCAGCATTTGTTCCTAACTACCATGCCCAGGTCTAGATAATTGGTGTTTTATTTTGTATATGAGAAATGGTAAGGGACAGATTGGAGAATGAGATGTTTGTTTGCCTTCCCATTTTACTGATAAATGACAACCTCAAATGTCTTTATCAGCAAGTGGATTATTTTTAAGAGCAAGAACTAGCTCATGGTGGGAATGGAATAGCATGCACACTATGATTTAATAAATCAGAAATAACCTTCAAAGAGAGCACTTCTGTAAAAATAATTTTAAGATTATGGTCTTTAATGTAAGGCTTTAATTTCTGAGAACGGACACCCTCCACCCACCATTAAGGTAATGTCCAAAATCAACTGGAAAGCCACTGTTGCTAAACTCACTCCTGAGTCTTTAATTTATCTAATCGATTATTGTTGTGCTAGACAATGCAAGACTAGAGTTAACACAAAAAATAAAAAAACACAAAAACAGAAATCTAGATGTAGAGAAGATATACTGTTGCTTCTGTGTAATATAATGCCCAAATATATTGTTTTGTATACACTGTCACTTTCTATAGCACTAACAGCTGGGACCCAATTCCAGGTATCTGCAACAAAGCTGTCAAAATAAAATCTGATTGTGATTTCGATGACTTGCCCATTATTATACAATGTTTTATTTAACTGTTTAGTTGACAAGTGTAACGCATGTCAAAGTAACTCATCTTTCCAA